AGTGACTCTCAGGTCTGGGAAGCAAAAGCCTGTTTCTGAACATAATCCTTATTGTTAAGAGGTTCTTTTGACCGTCACAGTCCCTCAAGCCTCAATTCAGCAAGAAATGGATTCTCAAAAGTGATAGAAGGTAGCTGGTCCTTAGGACTCTCCAAATAACTCAGCAGAAAGGTGGAGACAGAATAATTTATCTTTCTGCCTTCCCTCCTTCACCTGAAAACACTCCTTATGTTTCTGCCACTGTCTAACCTGCTCCATTTTCTATTTCTCTTCTTCAGAGCTTCCTCATCCCTCTGTGAACCAGAATTGGACATTACTCTTTGTTCAGCAGGAAGATACTTGTAGGCTCTTGACCACTACTATTTTTACCTTTCACTCTCATCAAGTTTTTAGTATCTCATAAATCTGAAACAAAGAACACTCCCAGCTGTTAGGATAGTCAGATCCCTTCCAGTTGTGCCTGCCTACACTAGGATCACCATTTCCACAGAGTTTACCTCTATTGAGAATATTTATCAACAGCCATGTTCATCAGGGAACTAGTATGCAATTCCTTTCTCTCATACCATTTTGGGGTTTTTGTTTTGTTTTGGTTTTGGTTTATTATTGCAGTGCTGGAGATTGAACCCAGGGCCTCTGCATGCTGGGAGGGCACTCTACCATTGAGCTACAAACCCAGCTCTCATATCCGATTTTTATATGTGTGTGTTGGGGTCGTGGAGATAGACAAAGCTGGGCTTCAAGGGGAACTCCTAGCTCCAGGGCACTGAATAGGAAGGCATTCTGGGAGACAGCAGGATATATCACATCTAAAAAACACACCCACCCTCAGCTAGTTTCCCTAAATCAGAGACAAGCTTAGGGAAACCAGACGGATGGTAAGGGCAGGCTGTGGTTTTCTTACCCCCTGGACACCGGGCGGGAAGACGTACTGGATGACAATGGTGCCATACTTCTCATAGCTGGGCAGTAGGAGGGTGGCGTCCTTGGAAACCAGCATCCTCCCATTCTGAGGCTGGTTGCCCACAAGCTGCCCATAGAAGCGGCCACACATGGGGCAGGCCTTTTTCACCTGCAGTGCCCGGGTGATGCAGCCCTCGCAGAATGAGTGCCGGCACTTCTCCAACGTCTTGGCATTCTGAATCTCCCCGAGACAGATGGGGCAGGTGCTCTCCTGCTCTTCTGCCTCCTCCCGAAGACGGGGAGGAAGAGGAGGAGGCAGAGGAGGGGGAGGAGGGGGGAGCCCCCGTGCCCCTGGGGGCAGGAGTGGGGCTGCTCGAAGAGGGGGTGGGCCTGGGCGGTGCAGCTCAGGGTGTTCCCCACCACCCCCCAAAGCCAGGCAGCCCATAAGCTCCCCCTGCCTCTGAGCTTTCTTCAGCTCTTTCTCTGCCTCTTTCAGCAGCCCCTTAAGGGCCTTCCGGGCCAGGTATAGCCCATTAGGAGGGGCTGGGGGAGGACCCTGTGGGGAAAGCTGGAGAACATAGATGTCAGAAGTCTCGCCATCTATGAGGATGGACACTCGGTGCTCCTCCCGAAGCCGGGCCAGCCGGGCTGGGGTCTCTTTGCTCAGGAAGTCCCACACAGGCTTGGAGACAGTCACTTTGTTCTTGCAGGTGCCTCCACAGGCTGCCATTCTGGACAGGACGAACGACACTGCCCCCAGGGTGAAAGGGACTCAGGGTGGGGGGTCCCCCATTTGACACATATAAGTGCCTCCTACTTCAGGTACCTTCCAATCCATCCATTACCTCTATTCTCTCAAAGTCCAACCCCCAAGCCCTCCCCTAAATTCATTTTCTATTTCCCATATTCTGGCACCCCCTAAAGAAAAAGAAAACTTCCATACATTATTTTTACATGAGACAAGCATCAGTCTTGGTTCTCCTTTCATTTCTCCCAAGATCATAGAAACTTGCCCACCCCCACCCTCTGGGTGAAAAATGGGCTCTTTAAATGGGAGAGAGACTTTGGACCCTCTTTTTTGCTCACTTTGATCCTGAAGAGCTTAAAATTGGCATGCAGGCTCACTCTCTCTTCCCCTGCTCCCTACTTGTAGGTTGTGTGACCTGTGGGGTGGGAAGGAAAAGGAGGGAAAGTGAAAAATCCCTTTCCCAATCCCTACAGGCCCCAATCCAGCAGCCCACATAACAGATAGGAACCTGGGTGTAGGTTACTGGGAACAGGATTACTTGGAACATTTGAGAGAACTAGTGTAAGGGTTGAGGTTCTCTTGGGGGTGGGGGCAGGTACCTGGAAAGCCCATGGAAGATGATGGCAGCAAAAATCCCTGTTTCTACACTCAGCTGACCAGGGCTGGAGTAAGGGGGAAGGTAAAGGGTTATGATGGCAAATGATCATTTCCACTAACCAGCACAAAAAACAAAACTTCTCATCCATTTCCTCTCTTCTGCCTGCAGAATCCTGTCCCCTGCCTCTCCCCAAGTTGCTAAAGGAACTTCGACATGCTAATCTCCCCCAAACCCCCCAGCTCTGAGGAAAAGAGGAGGGGAGGGAGGAGACTAGGGCACAGATAAGTCAAAAAAGAAAAAGCCCATAGACAGAGGTCATTCTTGCTACTTTTGTCAAATCACATGAATAGGAATATTATTCTTATTCTTTCCAACTCTTTGCCCTACTCCCTATTCCCAAATAATTCATCCCCTGTTGTTGAGTGGGAGCCTTGAGAGCTAACTGAATCCCTGCAGCTGAAGTCTGTTAGGGATGCCAACAAAGTGGTAGCAGCCCCTGCAATAACAAAGTTCTCATTGTCACCTTTTAAACCTAGCGCAGGCAGCACTGCCTCTCAGTTCCCTATCCGCATTTAGGAGGGGTGGGGCTCAGCTGGAGGGGCCTGATGTTTCCCCTAAGTCCAGTCAAGTTCAACTACAGGAGTGTCCCCAAAACACCTCCAAGTGCAGCTCAATTAGAAAGAGGGGCCATTAGCATGACCTCAATTTCTTGACTGATCCAAAAAGAAGTCTCCGTCTGTTTGTGCCTCCATGACAGTCCCCTCAAGGCCATATGCCCCTCAAGATTCAGAAAGTGAAAATGGAACCCTAGAGTCTCAGCCCATACTGTTTGTGCATGGTAGGACGCCCCCTCCTCATCAGAGGAGACCCAGGACGCAGGTGTCCTAGCCCCAAGTCCCGCTGGCACAGCAAAGGGAGGCGGGGCCACAATTTAGGCTGGTTCCGTGATTCCTGTGGGGCAACCCAGGCCGGACACCAGGCCAGTCCCTCCTCCAGACAGCGGCCAGAGGCAGGGACAGCCGGGAAGGGCAAGAATCCCTGGGGGCATCCATTGAGGCAGCTCCACCCTTCCCCCACGACCTCCTCCAAGACCCGACCCGGAACCAACTCCCCGCATCCCACTCGCGGAAGCCCCCGGAGCCCCGCCGCTGGGTGGGGGTGCACGGCGGCCTGCTTGCGGCCCTCGGAACCCCCAAATGGAGGCCAAGGCTGGAGGCTGCTAGAAAGATGATCAGACCGGCCCCAAGGAGGGCCCAGGTGCCGCGTGCAGAAGAAGAGGGAGGCGGCGGGGGTGCAGGGGGAGCGGGGGGCTTGCGAGAGGTGCGAGCGGGGTCCGGGGGACACGCGGTGGGTGTGGGGGGCGCCGGGCTCACCTACCTCTCGTCAGCGCCGCCATTGCCGGTCACATGACTGAGGCTGTTGCTGGGATGACGGTCCGGGCCTTAGCAACAAGGGCGGGGGGGAGACCCCGAGAAGGTAGAAGTGGGTGCAGGGGGTGCAGACTGAAGGAAAGGGAGGGAGGGAAGACAGCACCCCCTTTCCCTTCCCAGGTGATAATAACCGTTTCCTTTGACCCCTTCTACCCGGGAGCCCCTGCCCTTCCGCCCCAAAACAAAAATGGAGGCTCAGTCCCAGTCTTTGGAGGGAGGGGGTGGTGTCACGGAACCAAGGGTAGGAGGTTAAATCCCTTAGAGACGCCACCCTTCTCGCTTGCCCCTCCTGGAGGAACCCGCTGCCTTTTCTTTCCCAGCCAGCTGCGTGGCAGCTCTTGGGAATTGGTGGTAGATGGGCGGGTGGACAGTATCGGTGGGTAATGGGGATTTGAAGGGGTGGGCAAGTTTTTTGAAATCCTTTTGCTGGAAGGGCCTTTGAGGAACAATGCAAGATGCGAAGTCTTCGTGGAAAGCAAAGCATTGGTGTTACAAAACAAATAAGCCCCATTACTAAACTTCAATCCCCACCCTCATCTCTTGCCACTTTCTAGATTGTTACTTTCTGTGACCCCCCTGCCCCAAACACACACACAAATCTGCTCTCCTCAGATGGGCCGTGATAAGTGCCTTTTTTTTTTTTTCTTTCTTTCTTTCCACAAATAGAGACTGAGGATGGAGCAGAATGGAAAGCGATCAGATCTTTAAATGGCTTGGGTGGGGGGGGGGTGTCAAGTGTATGGTTCAAATAGAGTTAAAATTTCTCAAAGGAAAAAAGCTCTGCTAGGCTTCCCACATCAGAGCAGTCTCCACCCCCAGTCCAACTCACTTCTCTGGGGCCACTCCAAGCTAGGTTTTTCCACCAACCGAAAGACCTCCTCAACCAAGACATACTCATCTCCCAGGCTAGCAACAACCTCTAGTTATCCACCTCTTTTTTCACTCCCCTTCTGGCCTGGAGGGCTAGTCGCTCCCATCTTTCCCAGGAAGCCTGGGAGACTACCAAATTCCTTGATTAGCTGGTGCCCTAAAAGGCCCACTCACCTTTACAAAAATTGTGATTGAATCCAGAGTCCTGGGGTATGAGGGCTATTTCATCCCACTCCTCCCTGGCCCCCACTGCTGCTTAGCTCCCACAAAATTTGTGTTTTCCATTCCTTGTCCACCCTTCACCACCTTTTAAGTTTATAGCCATATGAGAATCTTCATCTTTAGTTAGGGACCCAACACTTCCAAGACCAGAATTCCTCAGTTGGGTCTTTGCACTCCTAAGCATTGGATTCATCAGAAAGGGGAAATACAAAGCATTTCTGTGAAGGAATCTGGATTGAATAATTTATTTTCTGTGTTGTGATAGTAATGGAAGTAAATACACAGGATTTTATTTTATTAATTAAAACAAAAAAGACAAAAAACAGAAGCAACAAAGGAAGACCATAATGCCCATGATACATCAGTCTCATGGTCAGAAAAACCAGTTTTGTTTTGTTTTCCTTGAAGTGCTGGGAATTGAACCCAGGGCCTCCCACATGCTAGGCAAGCACCCTACCACTGAGCTGAACCTTGAACATGCTAGGCAAGCACTCTACCGCCACCCCCCACCCCAAAATCCAGTTCTAAAGAGCAACAGCTGCTGGTGTCATGGAGTTTTATTGCATTCAACAGGGGAAAAGTAGATGGTAAGAATGAAAAAGACCCAGCAGGCCCCTGAAAAGAAGATATTATAGGGGATCCAATCCCTAACTGGGGACGACTCCTCCTGCTACCTTCTTTGGAAAAAAGATGAAAGCAAAGAGAGAGCTTCTCACATATGACCTCATGACTTCTTGTGAGATTGATCATCCCAGCCAGATGCTGAGAAAAGCAGCTTTGCATCCCCACAGACCAGCTGCTGGTACCTAGCTTTACAAGGAGAATAGAGCATAGCAAGTCAAATGGGTGCCTTGGTCCCAAAGGCATTGGGGGGAAGGGGAGAAAAATCCATCTCTTCTCATCAGGGTCCTCTACATTCTGAAAATATCATGTGTCAAACTCAGCTATCTTTGGAGGGGGCTGGGTGACTTGAGTTATGGCTCTGACTCTTCTCTGGGGGTGGAGAGTGAAGATGACAAAGAAGGCCATCTGTCCCCTGGGAGACACAGTAGCAGTATAAGACAGAATAGAAGAGAACAGAATAATAAAGCCAACTGGAAAAATTGTTTGTGAAAGGGCAGGGGAAGGAAGTATGCTAGGTGCACACATCTAGAGAGAGGGGGAGGTCCCCACACTTGAGACCTCCATCCTCTTGAAATGACCAGAATTGACCCAGGTAGAGATATTCCTTTGTACTGGAAATAAACATTGGGGATAGCTAGGCAGGAAGAAAAGAAACTTAACATGGGAATAAACCTTACATTACATCCCATTATCCCAGCCTTCAGAATTGGCCACATACCCTCTGTAGGGTTCCAGCCCTAGGAAAGGCCATGTACTGGGATAGCACAGCAGTAGTCAAAACACCTTCACCCAAACCTGAACACTTCTGGACATCTCCGGTTCCTGTGACAGAAGTGCGGATGGATGGAGGTGGAAATACAGGGGGAGAAGAAACTGGAGAGTAGTCAATCCTTGACAGAGACTCTCCAATTCCCTGCATAGTCACAAAAGTCCTCTTAGGTCCTGCCTCTGTGAGGTGCCAGTCTCCTGACTACTCCCCACCCTACTTCCATGTGTCAGATTGGCCATTTTCCATCATGTGTGTGCAGGCCTGCACTCACATCTGTAGATTCTGAAAGTCCTCCATCCCAGGGCCTACCAGGAGGGAAGCATGCCACAGTGAGTTCTATAAAGTTAACAGCAACATTCAGACACTCTTAGTTCATCCCAAAAGCAAAGTGCATCCAGGGTAGTTGCTTGAGCCAGGTCCATTTGTCCAGTCAGGTCCTGAGGATGGCAAACAACCCCCTGCCCCCAGCTCCTCCTATTTTATAGAAACAACAGGATATTTTACAAAGCTCAAGGCACTTGGGAGAAAGTCAACAATACCTCTCTAATGAAGCAAGAGGGCTTTTTGTGGGGAGGGAGAGAGGGGAAAAAATGGATAAAGGGGAGAAAGAACAATGTATTTCTGGGGGCCAGGATGAACCTGGAATGGAGTTATATAGATGGAAGGAGCCTGCAGCCTGAATTTAGCAAAGGAGGAAGAGAAGTAGTGGCCAGAATATCCACAGTTCCCCCAAGCCTCTCAGAAGCCCACCACCTTTTGAGTAAAGCAGCAATCACCACAGAGTCAGGCAGGCTCTTAGGCAAAGATGTTGGTAATAAAATCCAGGAATCGCTTCGCATACTGCTCTGGATGGACAGTAGAGATCTCTGCCCCTGCCTGTGAGAGGAGATGTGGATCAGTGTGTCAGTCCAAACCACCACCTTCCCCATTCCCTGTCCCCTCAACCCATCCCAGCCCATTTTTCTCCCTTTGCCATTCTAGACATAAGCAGCTCTCTTCCCAAAGAATAATCATTACAGGATAGGAAAGGCTTTGGGAAACTCACCCCATGTTTGACAGTTTTGGCTGCATGAGCTGCTTTTTTCTTGGCATCATATTGTGTCAGGATGTCAATGAGGCCCATGAAATATACCTCCTTCTGGGGGGCGCCTGGGGAGAGACCAACAATGAAAAGTTATAGTCCCAATTCCCTTTCCCAGGAACTAGTCAGTTTTGTTCTGAAAAGCTAATCTCTCCACCCACCTCCCTAGTCTCTGTCCCCAGTGACAATCCTCCCTCTTCACCCTCAAAATTTCCAGTATCTCTCACCCTCAGCACTCCGGATGGCATAGACATCGATGAAGGACTCAAACTCTCCAGGGCCCAAGGGCCGATGGGAATGAATGTAGCCTCCAATACCCTCAGGGGAAGTACCATAGGAGCCCACCAGAGCAGGAGGTCCAGTCAGGTTACAGTCCCCATCCCACTCTGACTCATCTTCCCGTATGGACCCTTCCTCCTCTGGTTCAGAGCCCCGGATGATGTCGTGGATGCCCAGCAGAAGGCTGTAGTCCATGATCTTCAGCTGCACTAGAAACTGAGACCCATTGACAAATCAGACACCCCAGATCTCCCTCCTCACTTCCAGGTACCACCCTTACCAACTCTTCTCTTTCTGGGGCCCTTTTAGGGAAAGGAAGAGTAAAAACTGAGGCTGGGGTGTACTACTACCCTGTAGTACCTAAATATTTTGAAATCTAAGATCACCCTTTTATTCATTCCAGGCACCCCCTCCACAGGTCACCTCTAGATTATGTAACTGTCTCACATCCAACCCCGCTACATGCAGAGGACCCAAAGAATAAGGAGAAAGAGGGAGCTCTCTCATATTGTAAATGGAAGAGACAACTAAAGGGGGGGGAAAAAGGAACAAAGGCATTTCAAAGCACCCCAATTATCACCTCCACATCTCTCTTTAGCTTCTCCAGAAATACTTTCTTCTCCTCCTCACCAATATACACTTTCTGGTTCTTATTGAGGAAGTCTATATCCTTAAGGGTAGGCAATTCCTTAACCTAAAATAGGGAAAAAGATATCTTGGGGTCCCATCCCCAGGGCTTGAAGAATCCTATCTCCAGGACTCTATCTTCACCTCAGTGGCCTCGAGAAGAGAGCTCCTATGTTCACTGACTTCACACTGATGCTTTCCTAGGCTGTCACTCAGCTGTACCTCACATCACAGCTTATTGTTTTGTTTTGCAGTGCTGAGGATTGAACCTAGGATTTATGCATGCTAGGCAAGTGCTCTACCACTATAACATCAGCTCACACCCCACCACTTTCAGTCAATACCCTCTATGCTGAATTTTCTTCCTCCTTCAGCAGGTAGCTACTTGAATACAAGCACCCATAATAGGAGATTAAAGGGTGAGCACTTAGTACTCTTAAAGCCTGGCACCCTCCCGCCCATCCCCAAATCTTCTATGTGGAATAACCCATGCCAATGACAATTCAGTTGTTCTTCTTTCCCTTCCCAAACGATCCCTGGAACAGTCAAAGTTCACATCTCTCTTCCTTTCAGTGATTTAAACATCTGGTGATCACCATCTGTTATGGAGAATGGCCTCTTCATCTAAGAAGATCCCTTTCATTCACCCCCATCCTTCACCCTATCACCTAAAATGAGTTTCACCTTTTCCTTATCGCTGGCTTCCCGGGATACTAGGGAACCCTGTGGAGAGACCCAAAGACCAAGTCAGCAGAAGTGGCTAAAAGAACAGAACCCAGCACCTAAGATGAGTACTCAAATCCACAGCCTTCTTTCCTGTAAAAGGAATCATCCAATATCCTCCCAGTCCCTTCCCCATTCTCAGGCCCCCAGGATACTCCCCTAAATCCTAGCTAACATGTCCTTACCTTGAGGTCATACTTTCTGTGCACAGGAAGACGGTGGCTAAACATATTGCGCATCACAAGCATGTAGCTGTCTTCGTTGTCCACGCTGACTCGGTACATCCCCAAGAACTGAGGCAGCAGTGTGTTGCCATGGCACTTTACAATGTACTAGGGTGGGAGGGGATGAAGAATAAAGACAGACTGAGTAGCAGACACACAAATAGCCCAGGGATGGGAATCCAAACACTACCCTTCTAGGATAGGGCAGAAAACTTCAAGTAGAGAGGTTATAAGAAGATCAAAAGTTTTGGGTGCTTCCCCAAACTGCCCAAAACAGGTTCTGAATCCCCATCTCCACTGATTTCTTCCATGTGTATAATGACTCTTAATTGTTGTGGGGATAGGGGTATGGTAGTAGAGATTTAATCCAGGAGTGCTCTACCATGAAGTTACACTCCCAGCCATTTTTTAACTTTTATTTTGAGACAGGGTCTAAGTTTCCAGGGTCTTGTTGATCCTCCTGCCTTCCTAATGTCTCTTAATTTTAAATTGCCTTCTCTCATTTGACCTGTATCATTCTTTGAAATGTGGAAGGCCAGGTTTTCTTATCCTTGTTTTAGGACCTCCTAAAGGCAAGTAGTCACAGAATCAGGATTAGAATTTACATCTGCTTATCAATGAAATTATTCCTAGGCCACTGTTTCTTGGTGGGCTAAATTCCTGTAGTATAAATGCCTACATGATGACCTGTAATTGAATTCTTTTTTTTAATATTTATTTTTTAGTTATTGTTGGACACAATACCTTTATTTTATTTATTTATTTTTATGTGGTGCTGAGGATTGAACCTAGGGCCTCGCACATGTTAGGCAAGCGCTCTGTCGCTGAGCCACAACCCCAGCCCTGTAATTGGATTCTTTTTTTTTTTTTTTTAATATTTCTTAGATATAGATGGACATAACACCTTCATTTCATTTATTTACTTTTTGTGGTGCTAAGGATCAAACCCAGGGCCTCATGCATGTTAGGTGAGCACTCTGCCACTGAGCCACAACTCCAGCCCTGTAATTGGATTCTTAAAAAAAATTTCATTTTTCAGGGCTGGAGCAACAGCTCAGTGGTACAGCATTTGACTAACATACTTGAGGCCTTGAATTTGATCTCAACACTGCAAAAAACAAATGTACAAAAGACAAAACAAACAACTCCTCTTTCAATGTTTACCATCTCTGTTTTTTTTTTTTTTTTAGAAAGAGAGAGAGAGAATTTTTTAATATTTATTTTTTAGTTTTCAGCGGACACAACATCTCTGTTTGTATGTGGTGCTGAGGATCGAACCCGGGCCGCACGCATGCCAGGCGAGCGTGCTACCGTTTGAGTCACATCCCCAGCCCATCCCTGTTTTTTTGTTGTTGTTGTTTTTTGTTTTTAGTAAGTTGAGGAGCATTTATGCTTTAAAATTTTTTTTGTAGTTATATATGAACAGAATACCTTTATTATTATTATTTTTTTAAATTTTATGTGATGCTGAGGATCAAACCCAGTGCCTCATGCATGTTAGGCAAGTGCTCTGCAACTAAGCTACAGCTCCTGCCCCCCATCTCTCAGTTTTGCTGCCTACTTCTCTTCAAAGCAAACTTTCACAGAAAAGTGAATAACAATCAGACCATTTCCTACATCTCATTGACATATCAAATCACTGAACTTGAATTTAGACCTTCATTTCCCTCTCTGAGATCTCCCCCAAATCCCTCACTTGTCATATCCAATAGGTATTCTAATCATTGTTATGTTCCAATGGTGTGGCACCCAATTTTGTTGACCAGTCTCTCCTTAAATTGCTCTTCAGTCTCAGCTTCCACTGTACCACTCTTCTGATTCTGTTCCTCTGTCTTCAAATCCTTTATAGAATGTACTGGGGAATAAATAATGAAAAGTGCCCATCTACTCTGAGCCTCCTTAGGTTCTATCTTCAACCTTCTTCTCATCTTACTCCACACATTTTCCTTCAATAATCTTACCTATATTTCTAAGTGATTTTAGGTGGTAACAAGTGATTTTGATGATCACTTACTCATGTACAACTTCCAAACTATACTTTTAGCCTACTCTTCTTTCCTGAATTCTATACTGGTATCCCAGCCACTGACTGGACATCTGTAGCTGAATGAACTGTAGAAATCTAAACCTCATCATGTCCAAATCAGAACTATCTTCCTCCAAAAACCTGTTCCTTTTTCTGTTTCCCAGTTCTTGGTAAATGGAAGTCCTAAAATTTGGAGGCTCCTTTGCCTTAACTCCCACAATCTTACCAGAGATCTTCCTTAGCCACTTCTGCTGACTTGGTCTTTGGGTCTCTCCACAGGGTTCCCTAGTGTCCCAAAAAGCCAGCCATAAGGGATAAAGTAAGGGATGGAAGGTGGGGTGAAAAGATCTTCTTAGGATTAAGCAGGTTTTAGATTGTAAATACCAAATGGGAAGGGACATATAAAATTCTTCTGCTGTTAGGTTAAACACAAATAGGTATGCCTTTTCTTTTTTTTTTTTAACTCCTATTTTTCTTTTTTTTTTAAAACTTGCTATTGGGGATTGAACCTGGGGGTCATTCTACCACTGAGCTACATCCCAACCCTTTCTGTTTTTGAGATAGGGTCTCCCTAAATTGCTGAGGCTGACCTTGAACTTGCAATCCTCCTGCCTCAGCCTCCATGAGTCACTGGGATTACAGGCGTGCACCACTGTGTCCAGCTTAAATTCCTAGTTTTCAAAAACATGATATCAAGTGCTTCTGGGGGAGATACTTTGTAGGGGGAAAAAGGGATAGGAAGTCTCTATGTGCTCTGTCAGCTGAGTTATGAATGAGTAGGGAGGAGGAGGAAGATAAAATGGAGCTGGAGAGAGGCCTGACCTGGTGGTAGTTGGAAAGGTTGCTATGCATGTCAGCAATGTCTTCACTGGATACTTCCTTGATGACTAGAGTCCGATCATAGGAGATAAGAAAACGGCCATCGCTCCCTTCACTTTCACTTGGGGGGCTTCGGGTAAGGGACACCTGGAAACAAAAGAATAGGCTAGAGGCTCTTCCTCACATTTTACGTGGAGATACCAATCTTAGGATAATGGCCACCCAAATGCTTCTGAAAGTGAATAAAACCCTTAAATTGAACATATAATTTTTAATGTACCTATATTTTTCCCCAAAGACAGCTTCATTAAATTAGCTTCATTAGCTTTCATTAGATTTTTAAAAGATGTCTATGACCACTAAAAGATAAAGAATCATATTTGCTGAGGCTTTCCTTTTACCAAACATAACTCTCCCAAGGACTCCCAGTTGCTAGGGTTTACCCTCATTCCATAATATGTTCTCACCAAGTAATCCTGGTCATCAATGCCAAATCGATCACGAAGGTTCCTGAAGACTTGGGGACAATACTCCTTGAACTTGAAATGACTGGGCAGATTTTCTCTGTAATATGAGTTTTCAAGATAAGACAACAAAGTGTCAATATCACTTTGCATTTATACAAGACTTGGAAGTTTATAAAGCACCTTTACACTTTTTGGGAAGATGAGATATCGGGGATTGAACCCAGAGGTGCTTAAGACTAGCCACATCCCCAGCCAGTTTTATATTTTATTTTGAGACAGGGTCTTGCTAAGCTGCTTAGAGCCTTGCTGAGTTACTGAGGCTGGCTTTGAACTTATGATCCTTCTGCCTCAGCCTCCCAAGCCACTGGGATTACAGGCATGCACCAATGAGCCCAGCTGCTCATTTGATTCTCATAAAACCCCATAAGGTACTTTAAAGATACATTGTTCCCATTTTAGAGAAGGGGAAATTGTGTCTCAAGTTAATTGACTGACCTGCCCAAGTCACAAGGCTAGTAAGTAGTATAAGTAGATCAAGGATCTACTGTCCATCCAAATAGGAGCATTCCCCCAATCTCAAGCAAGTTAAAGACATTCTAAAGTTGGAATTGTTTTGAAAAGTATCTTCTAATAAAAGGGTGCTAAAGTACTTCTTTCAAGGAATCCCTATTTGAAGCTAATGGTAATGCATCTGAATACATTTACTCTATGCAACTTCCAGGCTAAAAGAGAAATAACACTGGTAAATACAAGTATGAAGGCAATATTAGAAATTATTTTAATATTTTTTTCCCCACCAAACTGAATTTCTGCATTGAGAAGGATATTAGATTATACAACATTTTTGTGTCTGTGTGTTTGGTGCTGGGGATTGAATCCAGGGTCTCATACATGCTAAGCAAGTACTCTATCACTGAGCCACATCCCCATCCCCTAGACCATACAACTTGTAAGTTGACTTCTAAATCTAAAACAATTTAACTCCCTGAATCTTTAAAAAATTATTATTTTTCTAAGAGATTGCCATAAGAAGGGCAAGGATTCCTCCACTTACCTGTGGAAAAGATGATTATTAACCTTGATCTTGGAACTAGCTTTAAAGTCATCTGGCAGCAGCATCACTGGGGGAGGCACCTGGCTGAGCTCATTGATCTGATAAGTCAAAACATGAATATCGAGGCAGCAAGTAAGGGTATGGAGAGCACTTATATACTGTGTCTGGGCGGGAGTCAGGAAAGGGCAACTCATACCTTTTTCCTTTAAAAACACTGGCTGTACATAATCTTGAAGTGAGAAAAATGTATCTAATCCATTCTGCTGCCCAAGAAGGACTGTGGTAAGCAATCCTCACACTCCCTCCCCCATGGAACTTCATGCTCACAACGGGAATTTTATATTAGGCAAACCCTGTAAGCAACTTAGGACTATTTTTAAAGCTGTGAGAAATTCTAGAAAAAAAAATCTGCAGACTCAAGACAAAGTTACATGTGTTCCATTAAAAAAAAAAAAACATTTTTTAAAGCGCACAGTTAATGGGACTCTTGAGGAGATCAAAAGTGGCAAGAAAATGAAATGTACATATTCTATAAAAGGTATCTCCTTTAAAACAAGACAGTCCTTCCAGAGCACTCTGACCCAGTTCTCTGCAGCACGTGCCCACCTGCCTAAGTATAAGGTAAAGGAAGAGCAGCTGATCTCAGAGGGAATGCCGGCCCTCAGAGAATATGAGTCCATTAGGTGTCTATTCCTTAAAGTTAAGCCAATACACCACCCAAAAGATGCAAGCATCACATGCTGTCCTTTACTCCTAGGATCTGCAGCCTGCTAGAGTAGATAGGGAGCTCCTGTATTTAAGAATCCCAAGGAGATGTGCTTTCTACTTGGTGTTGCTTACAGCACCTTTTATTTGCCTTTAGTAGTGCATGTACCACATGACTCTTAACATCAGTTTATGTAAGTACATCCCTCAAGACTGTGAGCATTTCAAGGCAGGACCTGTCCTTATCATGTACATTTCTCAAGTGCCTAGCTAGCACAATGACCCTCATTTAGACCAAATACTATCACTCCAGCCAGCAATGGGGATATGTGTGTGTGTATTTATTTATTCCTGAGTTAGTACAATCTCTAGGCTCAGGGTGGGTAGGTTTTCTGAAATCCCATACCTCTGGAAGGGAAAGGAAAGTTGTGAAACTGAATAAATAAATGCCTTGCTTGATCATTTGAGAAAGGTTGAATTGTGGTTTAACCTAAATCCCACACACTGAAATGCATGTAACTCCTCCCATTCTCAGTAGAAAAGGAGGACAGAACATATTCCTCTAGGAAAAAAAGTCACTTGAGATTCCCAGCCTAAAATTTAGATACAGCGTTTCCTGCCCCCTCCTCACCACCTGCTAAGCAGGCTGAATCACCACTAAGGCATATGTTCAAGGAATTTCTCCATTCCAGACACCTGAAGTAGATGTATGTTGGCTGGAGGTTTCGGCGCTAGAGCTGAAGTTTATATATCTAAAGAAGCTGAGGCAGGTCTTACATGTAATTCCCCCCAATCCTTACCAAAGGAAAAGCCTTCCTGTTAAGCTTCCCACAGGGATGGATGAGTCAACTGGAAGGGACACATGGAGAGGCAGCCCTTCCTCCATCAGCCTTGCCCATACCAAGTGCCTTAGACTAGATACTTGATAATAACACATGACCACTCCGCAAGCTGCAAATGCAAAAGGCGGTCAAATGACCCCAAATGATACTCTAAACTACAAATCAAAAGTGTGATTAAAAACTGCATTCATCTGCACCCCCTTCCACCTCCACAAGTCTGCCTTGACTATAACAATTCAAGGAAGTTGACTACTAAAATATTCCCTGCCACATTAAGATCACTGCATCCCTCCCACTCCAGATCTGAGGGAAAAGGAGCAGCCCAGCTATAGGCCTCCCAGGAGAGATATACTAGCCTTCTTGGCATCCTCCTGACTCCCTGGTCATACCCTTTAGAGCAGTTTCCTCCTTCTAAAGTTCACCAACAGTTGGTGTCTCTGGGACCAGAGCTCCTCAGCCTTTTCTTTGTACAAGAATAAGTCCCACTTACACAGAATACCATCACTCCAGTCAGCAGTGGGAATGCAATTAAGACCAAATGCATACATACATAAAGTACAGAGTACAACCTCTAGGCTCAGGGTGGGGCTCAGAAATGCTGTACCTCTGGAAGGGAAAGGAAGGGACAAGCAGGATTAGAAGGTCCAAAAAACCTGGAGCTTTCCCCCAGACAACCAAGGCTCCAAAGTCAAGGACTGAAGCTAGAAAGCAAGGTGGAAAGGAAAGTGAATAATCTCCTTCACCCAGCTACTCCACCCCTCCTCCACACCCTTCCACACACCAAGACCTCACCAACAACAACCCAAAGAACCACTCCCCTAATGTCCCTCCTGCAGGAGCTGATCAGGGCCAGTTTCCGTAGCCTGGGGTTGAGACTGGACTTGGTGTAAGAAGCCAGGGAAGAGGAAGCTGGATTTCAGGTGGGGAAGGTGGAACTCTAGGGGAGGAGTAAAGGGCGGAGCGGGAAGACTAAATAAGCAACCCGAAGATGACCTGGGGGTACAACTGGGGGTTGTTGAGCAGGGGTCTGGGCAGCCCGGGCGCAGGGGGTGGGGGCGGTGGAAATGGCAACGAGGGGCTGGGAATGCTGGAGCAAGGAAAACAGAGACACCCCAAGGCGCGGGAGGGACTTTTGCCAGGGTTTTGAGGGCTAGGACTGGTTCTCACCGAGTGGGCTACGCCCCACAGGAACACGCCCACCAGCGGGTCGGCAGCCCGGAACACCTTCACCTTCTGCTGCACGAAATGCTTCTTCTTGGTTTTGGAGGCGAAGCCGAAACCCGGGCCTGGGCCTGCTGTTGCCGCTGGTGCGGCGGCTGGCGGGACCGAAGACGCCATAGTCTCCCGCGCACCCGACCGAGTACAAGCAGGAGCCGGTCGCGATCCCAGCACCCGACCCCGGAAGCTGTGCTCACCTGCGCCGCTATCACGTGACCGGAGGCTGGACCGCAGGCGCGCGAGTGGGGCGGGGCGGAGCCACTGGCTCCGCCCCCTGTGTCTGCTTGCGGAACGCCCGCGAGGTGGGTGGGCTCACCTGACGCCTGGCCTGCATGCGGGAACTCAGGGTCTCAGATGGCCGCCCGCGGCCCGCCAGGAGGCTGAAGTGTGTCCTGTTCCGGCTTGATTTACTCCCAGGTCGGGAACTTATTCGCTGAAAAGTCACCGCCGTCCAGCTTTGCCCAGTTTCTAATGAGTAACCTCCAGTCTGAGGCTAACGCGAAAGCGTTTCCTTACCAAATAGGAATTGGGTAGGAGCCAGAAAGGGAAATCCAGAATTGTTACAGTGGCCTCAAGCTTTTTAAAATTCGCCCATTCATTCATCTATTCAACAAATATTTATTGGTCACTTACTTGTACCCAAGTAAGTGGGAGGCAGCCCTTCCTCCATCAGCCTTGCCCATACCAACTGCTTTAGACTAGATAACTTGATAATATACATGACCACTCCGCAAGCTGCAAACACAAATGGGGGCCAAATTACCCCAAATGACACTCTAAGCTACAAATTTAAAAATGTGATAAAAAGTGCATTCATTTGCACCCCCTTCCCAGTACAGTTCTTTGGATTCATTCTCCTTAGATTGTAGCAGGGAGATATGATAGTTCCCGCCCAAAAGGAGTTGGGAGTCTAATGTTACTAGCTGGCCAGGGAGATAGTTGGCAACATTCAAGATAAGTGCTGCACTAGAGTTTTGAAAGACAAAATGCTAATGACAGAAGGAGGACAGTGGAACTGGCAGGGAAGCCTTGGAAGAGAATGGAGACTCTGTGCTGGGTATGGGAAAGCTGGATAAAGTTCAGAACTAGGGGTTAAAATGCTCTCAAAGAACGGCGTAAAAAACCTGGAGATGAGAAAGAAATAATGTGTTTCTGAGAGATGTAGGTATAAGGTAGAACTAGAATTTGATAACTAGTTGGAAGAAGCAAGACTTAAGGTTAGGGAGGGTAGGCACTGAAGATCCTTCAAGTAGTTTTAATCTGTTGAATGTGCTTTTTAGAAGGACCATTCAGGCATCAGTCTGGAGGGTGACTGGAGTGTTGCAAAAGTTTATATACAGATGGTGAACTAAAGCAGTGGCTGTTGGGTTGGGAGAAGGGGATGTAATTTTTTTTTCTTCCAGATACTGGGGATCGAACCCAGGGGCACTTTGCCACTGAGCCCTTTTTAATTTTTATTTTGAGATAGAGTCTCACTAAATTGTGAAGGCTGGCTTCCAACTTGGGATCCTCTTCCTATCTGAGCCTCCTGTGTCCCTGGGATTACAAGCATGCACCACTGCACCCAGCAAATGGGAGACAATTTAAAGATTTTTTTTTTCAAAGAGAGAGAGAGGAGAGAGAAAGAGAGAGAGAATTTTTTAGTATTTATTTTTCAGTTTTTGGTGGACACAACGTCTTTATTTTTATGTGGTGCTGAGGATCGAACCCAGTGCCCCGCGCATGCCAGGTGAGCAAGTTACCCCTTGAGCCACATCCCCAGCCCTAACCATATAGTTTGATGTTGATTTTGAAAATTCATAATGGATATGGGGTTTGGGGGAAAGGGGAGACATTGAGGGTGAGTCCCAGGCTTCTGGGTAAGACAAGGAGAGATGGTAGTGAAAAAGAGCAGTGTAAGGGAGACAAGTTTAGTTTGGAATATGTATGAGCACCTGAGGGCAACTGGACAGACATATGGGCCCAGAGTTCAGGAAAGTGGTCTGTGTTAGGGATACAGATTTATGAATTGTGGAAGTCTGTGGACATGTATGACATCTCCCAAAAACAGCAAAGAAAGAACCAAGGGCTGAACTTTGGGATAGAGCAAGCATTTACAGGTGTGTGCCATTGCCACACTGCCACTACAAGCCAGGCGCAGTGGCACACACCTGTAATCCCTGCAACTTGGGAGGCTGAGGGCAGGAAGATCACAATTTCAAAGCCAGCCTCAGTAATTTAGTGAGGTCCTAAGCAACTCAGGGAGACTCTGAGTTATAAAATATAAAAAGGGCTAGGGATGTGGCTCCGTGGTACAGTGCCCCTGGGTTCAATCCCTGGTACCAAAATAATAATAAAAAATAAAATAAGAAGGGGGTTGGGGATGTAGCTCAATGATAAAATGCCCTGGGTTCAATCCCTAATATCAAAAAAAAAAAAAGGAAGGAGTGGGGAACACAGAGAGGTGAAGCAGACAAAAGACTGAGAAATGCCTGTTTTATGTGGTAAGAGGTAAGCTTTGGAAAAGTAGTTTGGGCAGAACAAGAGCCAGATCAAGACGGGCTAAGGAATGACTGAGAGGTGAGGAAGTGGGGATGGGAAATTGGTACTGTTTCTGGAAATTTGGGGAGTCTGTTATAGAGAAGCACACAGCAAAGTAGGGACTCATAGTGGGGAGAGACCTTATAAGGAAAAATGATGTTACTAAAGAAGATGCAAATGACTCAAGCCTGCAACACTTTTGCAGGGAGTGAGGTGGGGGTGTGGGTACCAGGAACTATGTGCTCTACCACTAAACTAGTTTCAGATTTTTAAAAAAAAAAAAAAAAAATTGGGACAGGGTTACCCAAGCTGGTCTTGAATTTGTAATCCTTCCACCTCAGCCTTCAGAGCTGCTTGGATTACAGGTGTGTGCCACCATATCAGGCCACTTTTAGTTATACTGAGGTTCTAAGTAAATAATCTCAAGAATCAAGTAACTAGGGGCTAGGAATATAGTTCAGTGTTAGAGCACTTGCCAAGAGACAAGAGCAAAGATATGCAAAAGCCCCTAGCATCCTACAGTAAGGGAGAATTAAGTATCTAGAAGAGATTTACTTCAGAAAAAGGAGATTCATCACTTGTCATAAGGGAGAATGAAAGGACATATCGCGATATAATTTTGTCTGTGGTGGTTGAATTTCATGCTTGATCACATTATTTTTTTTTAAGTAGAAGATAAAGTTGTCTGGGGGTGGTAGGCAGGAGATCTTGATATGTGAGGGTTTAAGCCAGTTGCTCTAAGGACAGGAAAGGGAACTGAGCAGGGAAGCACAGGAGGAATACAGAGCAGCACTGAAGGTCCAGGTGTATTTGTAGCTCTTCATATTTAGTTGCCCATCCCCACCCCCAGTACTAGGGATTGAACCCAGAACTTCATACACTCTAAGTAAGTGTTCTACCACTGAGCTACATTCAGTGGTATGTATGTGGCCCTTTGTTTTACTTTTGAGTCAGGGTCTTACTAAGTTGCTGAGGCTGGCCTAGAACTTGTGGTCCTCCTGCCTCGGCCTCCCAGTTGCTAGGATTACAGGTGTGCACCACCCCACCCAGCTTGCTCCAGTTTTTTGATTATATATTTTTCTCCATCTCAGAAGCTTTGATTGATGAGCAGAGAAAATAGTGGTAGATAATGTTGGAACCGAATTGAGCTGTTAGCAGGGGAGGAATAATGACACATTGGTGGGGGGAAGGAATTGACTCTGGAACTAAGATGGTGGGGTCTGGGTAAAAGATTAAGAGAATTTTTTTGTTAAAAATTATAACCATCCTAGATATCCACCAACCTAGATATCTGGAATACTTGACAAACTATAGGATAATATATGAAAAATTATGTGGTTTTTCTTTTAGAATTGAACTCAGGGGCACTTAACCACTGAGCCACATCTCCAGCCCTTTTTAAAAATATTTTATTAGAGACAGGGTCTTACTGAGTTGCTTAAGGCTTTGATAAGTTGCTGAGGCTGAGTTTGAACTCCTGATCTTCCTGCCTCAGCCTCCTGAGTCTCTGGGATAACAGGCATGCGCCACCATGCCCAGCAATTATATATGTGTGGGGTTTTTTTTTGGGGGGGGTACCTGGGATTGAATTCAGGGGCACTCAACCACTGAGCCACATCCTCAGCCCTATTTTGTATTTTATTCACAGATAGGGTCTCTTGAGTGGCTTAGCGCCTTGCTTTTGCTGAGGCAGGCTTTGAACTTGAAATCCTCCTGTCTCAGCCTCCCAAGCTGCTGGGATTACAGGCGTGTACCACTGTGCCTGGTTTATAAATGTTTTAATGAGGTAAGTCAGTGTACGCTGACATGAAAATATTTCTAGGATTTGTCAATTGATGTGAAAATTGATGTGAATATGTAGAAAAACATCTGGAAGGAAATATACCATGCTGTTAAATGCCATTATATGCAACAGTGATAGAGAAGAGTGATAAAGAAGATTTGCAACAACACATGGAGTCATCATTGAATTTATTTTATTTTAAAGGTATCTATGTACACTGAGTAAATACACACTGGGGTTTGTGCAGTTTGGTTTGTTTTCCACACTGGCATGCAACATTTTGGCAGATGTGAGTGGGCAAGCCAGGTACCCCTTGTGATGAGCCTGGCTGTCTGTAAGGGATGTGGTGAATGTAGGGAACAGGAAGAGGCGGAGGAGGATACAGTGTGAAGTTTCTGGTGAAAGTTGTGCATGTGTTCTTATCTGTGTAAGTGAATTATATTTCCCTTACATCTTGCTAAAGAGAAGGCTGCTCCCCTGTGTCACCTCTCTTTTTATCTGCCCTACACCTTCACATCTTTTTAAAGTGTGTTCTTTTAAAGAATCATTTGGTAGCAAAATTACATAAAATCCCCTGGATTCTAAGGTTTCCTGCTGGCAAATACTAAGTCCACGGGTGTTCTGGTAACTTCCTTCCTCTCTGACTAGGTCTGGGACAGCATGGCTCATCTACCTTACCCCATTTACCCCATCCCTCTTTTCTATGAGTTGTAGGTTTGGTGTAGGGAATCCAGATTGTACCCCCTTCTTCAGAGCAGTGGTTTTCAAACCACTCTATAGAACCCTTGGGATCTCTTAGGGCTCTTCCAGGGCTCTTCAACTAATGAAGCATTTTCCACCAAAAAGAAAAAGAAAGAGAAAAAAAAATGCAAACTACCCAGGTCTGCATTATTTCCCTTCCCATCCCCCTTTATTTTTATTTATTAATTAATTTATTTATTTGTAGTGCTGGAAATTGAACCTAGAGCTTTGCACATGCTAGGCAAGCTCTACCACTGAGCTATACCCCTAGTCTATGTTATTTTTTTACATTGGAATTCTACATAAGATTTATTTTGAAAAGTGTTTGAAAATCACCAGTTTGGATTTATTTCAGACCCCTCTGATTTTGTCCTTAACTGCTAAAATTGCTCAACAGGTAAAGGGAGCAAGGACTCTTTCCTTTAAAGGACTCACAAGCCCCTGTATCCTGTATTTACCAGCTGGCAATCATGCTGAACCTCTTTCCCAACTTAGACAAAGCCAGATGATGGGCATCCCTGATGCTGAAGGTTCCTATCTTCCATCCATAAAAAGGTAAAATTATCTGGACTCCAGACTTCACTTCTTGGTTTGGGCTGACTAGTGACCTTCATCCCAAAAGTTACCTGAAAAAATACCTTAGCACCATGTGGAAGGAAAGTATAATCTGGAACTCAAGCAACCATCTTCTTAACTGTGGGAGAGGGGGCACATGGGCTCAGAATGGCTGGGGGAAGAGCCCTGGGTCAAGCCCCCAGGCTCTGCCACCTCTGGAAAATCTGCCCTGCCCCTTTCCCTAAAGTGCACTTTATACCACATAGGGACATTATAGAAGGAACTCTTTGTGGGGAACAACTTATACTGGAGGAAAGCCAGGCTCCAGTTTGAAATGAAGGCATCTGAAACAGCTATTTTGCCAATGAACTGGAAGCCCCCAAACCAAAAGGTAGAGATGGGAAGAACTTGTAGCCCAATATGGGAAAAAGGAATCCAGCTCATCGCTTCAACCTGAGGACACTGTGATGCAAATCACTTAGCAGTTTTCCACCCTGTTCAATCCTCAAACCCAAGGAATCAGTCATTCTGACTATACTTGCCCATAACTATCACCACAGAAAGATGAGCAGCTATTTGACAGACTGTGGGGAAGGGATCTGCCTCCTCAATTTTTTAAAAAATATTTGTTTTTTAGTTGTAGATGGACACAATACCTTTATTTTATTTATTTTTACATGGTACTGAGGATCGAACCCAGGGCCTTGCACGTGCTAGGCAAGCACTCTACCACTGAGCCATAACCCCAGCTCGCCTCCTCAATTTTTGAGAATATTTTTAACTTTGAGTTATGGTCATCAGGGGTAGAGAGTATCAAAAGGGGTTTGGACAAGTATAGGAAAGGTTCCTTGGCAAGCCATGGTCTCCATTTGGGAAAAATAGAGGGAGGCAAAAGGCAGACTTTGTAGGACAGAGGTAAACATCTGGAATCTCTTAATTTAGGTGAGGGCAATATTAAGAAAATTATATGTAGAATTTAGCAGCCCTTCCATTTTACCCTCCCCTGTGCTATCCATAAAAGAGAAGGGAGGAAGAGCCTATTTCTCTGACGTCTTAGGATGCTAAGACATTCTTCTGCTTAAGGCTTTATATGTACGTGTATGTGTGAGTAGTGTGTGAATGTGTGTGTATGTGTGCATGCACACATGTGTTTGTGAGAGAAAAGGATCACAGCCCTCTAGCTCCCATTTCTCATTTTATCATCTCTATGTTCTCTGCTCAGTGACTAACACCACTCAGTGTGAGACGAGTATATGAGAAAGAAGAAAACATTCCCCCGCCTCCCTATTGCCCCAAATAAGGAGGATAGACTATGCTTAGAAATTGCTAAATACATCATTAGATATTTAGAGAGTGGGACAGAGAGAAGAGAGACATAGCAGCAGCTTCCAATATATAGATACAGAGTACAAAGAGATACATAGTAAGTGAGAGAAGACATCAAACAGTACAGTCCAACAACAGGGGTTGGGAGGGGAGTTAGTATCAGAGACCACAGGTTTGCAGCATGCTGAGAGAAGAGGCCTCAGTCCCTCTTAGAAACTGGGGAAGAAAGAGAAAGAGTATGTGAGAAACCAGCCTGCAGCCCAGCAGCTGTGGAGGAACAGGTGACATTTGTACATACTTTGGTTTATAGTACAGTTCCTTTAATAACAATTATCCAAGCATTCTCCAGCCCCTGCTTCACCACCCTGGACCCTCTCTAAGTCCTCCTTCCCTGTTCCTATGTCTCCACTTTTCATGTCTATGTGTGCCTAGCATGCTATCCTGGAAAACCCCTAGAGAGGATTCAGCTTTGACACAGCCCAGGAAGAAACTGGCCATGTTCTCTCATTTCTAGTTCTGTAAGGATCCAAATGGATGACAAAACTGTATCCTAGTGCCCAGTTCTGGGCCATAAAGCAACTGGATAAGAAGCCTGGTGATACACAAAAACCAGGAAGGTGCCTATGCTAGAGACAGGGTCAGATTTATGGGACATTTTTAAAGATTTTTGGTAGTATGTGTAGATATGAGGAGATGTCATGGGTGTGGGAGTAAATCAAACATTGCCTTTACTGAAGATGTCTTAGTTTAGAAAATCTCTTTCCATCCAAGATTACTTTAGAGTAGAGGTAGAGGGAGGATTGAGATGATCTCCGAAGATTGCCTATTATCTAAGATCTGTGACCAGTGGGGGCTCTACATGGACAGCAGTCCTTGCTCATCTCATCTTCTGACATGCAGCAATGACCCCTAGTGGCATAAAACAGTACTGTGGATGCTGTTATAGCCAAAGGAAAAAGCATTCAGTACCAGCGAGGTCAGTGTTCATACCACACAAAGCAGTTGGGCTGATGTAGCCCCAGCAGGGGAAAGCAGGAGTTGAGAGGTCACTATATAGCAAATGTTTTGAGATGGTTAAAGAAATAAAAGGAGAACTAGAGGCTGTGGACAAGAAAGGAAGCCATCTGAGGCCAGTGCTACCTGAAAGTGCAGGTTATATAGCCATTGGTGTGGGAGGTTAGCTGGCTGCAGTCTCTTGGTGGAGAGGGAAGAGCTTCGCCTGGTCCTCAGCCTCATAGCCGCAGGGCAGGTCACTCCTGGGGGAATAGAGACAACACAGTCAGCTCCATATAAATGAAAGTATTCCTGTTGTGGCCAGTTCTCTGATAGCATTCTTGTGAGATATTGGCAAGGGCAGGTCTACTCAGACTTTACAGGAACACAGGGAAAAGCAGGGCCAGAGATATGTAAATGACTTGCCCAAGGTCACAAAGTTCCCGTTAGTGGGAGAGACCACATCATCAGATGTCCACAGCCCCATAACTAGCGTGGGGAGAGGCCATAGAAGGGACTAGAAGAGGGCAGTGTTCTGCACTGAGGTAAGAAGAATGCCTGGGATCTCCCCAACATCCAGGACAAGAATGATCCTCACTTCCTCCTCCCTCCCCTCAAGGCTCCAGAGAAGCTCTAAGTAGGGCAGAGGGAAGTTTAGTAATTTCTTTTGGTGCCATTCAGAGAACCCAAGGGTAGTGGGGCCTGGCATACCTATTGTCGTTGATATCTGTGGCATTTCCTGAACAGATCAGCATTGAGAACACAGGGTTAAAAGAAGAAGAAAGGATACTGGGTATTAGGAATGGTCTCCCCAGACTCTCTCCCATCCTAACCCCTTAGAGGAAAAGGTAAATTAGGGCATTCTATCCTCAGCCACCCCAAACTGCACCATTATTTTTGTTTGAGAAGAGAAGGGGACAGGTGGGAAAGGTGGAGATAGGCACAGTTAATAATAGGAGGAATCCACTTCTAAGAAAGAACTGAAATCTGAAGAGGTGTGTGCGTGTGTGTGTGTGTGTGTGCGCGTGCGCACACACAGGTGCGTTTGTGCACACATATATATTTTTTTGGTAATGCTAGGGATTGAACCCAAAACCTCATGCATGCTAAGCAGGCAAGCGCTCTTACCACTGAGCTACATCTCCAGTCATATGTATCTTTTTATTTAACACCCAACACATGAGAAAGGTTTAGTTAGTGTTCATTGTAAAATGGGGTAACTTACTTTTCTCATACCTTCAAAATTTCACTGGAGATTCCAAAGATCACTTACCATTGTCCATGTTGGCCTTCTGATAGGAAGCCAAGGGGCCACCAGAAGATGTGGCTCCACTGCTGGTACAGGAGTTAGCAAAGCTGGGTATAAGAGAGAGATGCACCCATTGAGTTGGCAACTACCCTCTACTATTCTTTTTTTTTTTTACTGAGCATTAAACCCAGAGATGCTTTACCACTGAGTTACGTCCCCAGACCTTTTCATTTTTAATTTTTAGACAGGATCTCACTAAGTTGCTAAGGGTCTTGCTAAGTTGCTGAGGCTGGCCTCAAATTTGGGATCTTTCTGCCTCAGCCTCCCAAGTCATACCCTCCACTATTTGTGGATCACTAATCCACATTTACCCTCAGCCACAGAGCTACACAACCCTCCCACCTCCTGAGAACAGAGGACAATAAACAGAGCAGGCAGAGAGGGCACAGTCCCACCTTCTAATACCTATGATTAGATTGAAAAATGTTTAGAAATAAAGATACTTAGGAAAATAATTTTCAACTAATAATTGGCCCAATCCCATGCTTTCCAGGGTTAAGAGAGCTTTAGTTTGAGACTCCAGCCCACATCCATGGTCACTCACTACACATCTGAGGTGGAACTAGGTGTGGCCTGCAGGTACAAATTCTGATAGTTCTGGAAGAGGCTGTTGGTGTAACTGATGCACTCAGGGCTCCGGGTGCCATAGGGGTTGGTGGGAGAGGATGCTGGATAGTGGCCAGGCCGCACAGGTTTGGCTGTGAAGAGAGGAAATGACCATGAGGTTGCTGTTACCCTGGTTCCTGAAGTCATTTTGCTGGGGCTAAACCAAGTTGCTTGTAACATAATTCATCACTTATTTCTTTTTGGGGGGTGGTCAAAGTTAGGGTCTAGAAACAATACTCTAGCTGCTTGGCACACAGGAATTTTCTGAATTTGCTTCAGGTTGTATTCCCAGCACTCATGATGACATCTACTCACCAATCTGGGCAGAATGGCCCCTCTTTCCAGAGCTCTTGTACCGAACAGCTTCCTTGATGCGGTCTACCTCCTGCTGGTACCGGCGCTTGTCCTTCATGGCGCCCTCCTTGGCCTCCTTCAGTGCACCCTCCAGGGCCTTAACTCTCTCAGCCGTAGCCCTAAGTCGTTTTTCCAATTTAGGAAGCTCACAACGCAGATCTGCATTGTCACGTACCAGCTGTGGGGTGAGCCAAAGGGAAGAGGCCAAAATAAAGGGGAGTGACCCAAAATTAAGTCACCCAGTGGTGTGTGGGGTGAGGGGTAGGGAAAGAGAATAAAGAAAAATAAAGAGTCAAAAAGCCTTATTCCCTTTATGTAATGTGCTATTCTATCCAGTTCTTTCCTTCATACATCATTTTCTAGGCAGCAAAACTTGGCATCTCTACTATGGCCCAGAACTCTGCCTAACCCGGAGAACTCCCCTCCACCATATCTCATAGTTTATGCCAGATCAACAGCTTCAGGGCCCCCATGGGGATGAGGTACCCCCTTCCCCAGAGATGGATGTGTGGGCATGCAAAAGGCAAGGCAGCAAGAACATGGCCACAGTCTGGAGAATGGGTGCAGGCAGTTGCAGTGCAGAGCAGGGGCATAAGCTGGAATTCAGGAGTCTCCACACACATCCATATACACATGGTGACCCATAGGAAGGAAAGAAAATGTTTGAGGTCTCACAAACATTTGTGCTTATTCCCTTCACGTTCAAGGACTTTCTGGGTTGTCCCTCCCCCCATTTAAATTAAGCTACACTGTGATAGCAACCACCTTGCAGCCAAAAAAGACTCCCTAATCCTTCCATACAGTGACTGGGGGCACTACAGACTGCTAAAGGAGCAGGGCCTTGTAGGATATCAGGCAAGTCGGCATAGCAGGGAACACTGAGAGTACCGGGGAAGAGCTAGAACCTTCCATGCAGCTTTAATATGGACAATTTAAGGATTATAATCAATGTTTTGTTGTGATAATATTTAGCTTAATTGGCACTATGGCTGTGGTCCTGGCGATTAAGATTCTGAGAAGTTTTTTACATCTTTTTTTTCTCAGTAGACTCTTGTCTATTGAGGTAGGATACTGTGGTAAGTTCTCTGTTCTTCAGGGGAGCAGTGTTTGATCTTTAGGACTTAGAAAAGAGGCAGAAGTGTCAATGAGGGAAAAGGAAATAGTCTCTAGTTTTTTCTTGTTTGTTTGTTTTGGGGAAGGGTATTAAGAAATTTAATATACATTTGGACAGAGAGGTAAAGTGAACACACAGGAATGAAATTAGAATGACAGAACTGATTAAAAATGTTTCCTGGCTGTCCTTCAACTTTTCAATAATGTTGTTACATTGTTTTATAATAAGGTAAGGAAAGAAAGATGGTAGTAAAGTCCTCTGAAGACCCAAATAAAATCAATAAACCCAGCAGATTACCACTGAGCTGCAGGTTTGGAAATTCTTTACAAAAAAAGATATACTATTTACTATGTAAACTGGGCATCATACTGGAAAGAAAGAAGGCTAAGTTCTAGGCTAGTGAGAATATGAGTTAGCTAGAATTTTAAGGAGGATTTGGGGTGGGGTACTAGGGATTGAATCCAGGGAAGCTTTACTACTGAACTATTATCTCCAGCCCTTTTAATTTCTTAATTTTCAGACAGGGTCTCCCTAAATTGCCCAGGCTGGCTTTGAATTTGCAATCCTCCTAACATAGCTTCCCCAATAGCTGGGATTACAGGTGCCACTGTGCCAGCCTTAAGGTAGATTTAAAAGGAAGAGAAGAAGTCTGGATTGGATTTCCAAGGGCTTTGCATATGCTACGCAAGTGCTCTACCACTGAGCTATAGGCCAGCTACAGGGTTAGAGTTTCTTTTACAAATCAATTTGAAGAAGGCCCAGGAGACCTTGGAGGGTCTCCAGGCTCAGCTCCTTGTTACTAGTGCAGGTGCTCCTGCTGTGCACACACCAAACATTTCCTGTCCTGACTCCTCTGGACTGCCCTTTCACCTCCCCAGCCCATACCTTTGAAACCCAGTCTTCCACCTAAGGAACCGCAGCAAGAAGGAGGGGGACAGAGAGGCAGCAACTTAATACACAGGAGTTCTGACTGGCTCCAACCAGGGGCTGGTTGAGCCATCTTGAACACATCATTTAATGTCCTATATGCCTGCCCCGGGTCTATGTAGATGTAGCTTCCTTCATGGAAGAAAGCCCAATTCCCTTATTTTTCTTGTCTCCCTGCATTCCCTCTCTAGCTAAGATCTGACATACTAATATTCCTCTTTTCTTTTCCTTCTTAAGTCTACTACTGAGCTACACCCCCAGTCTTCTGCTATCCCTCTTGTACAGTTAAGGCCCTATGCCTCTTCAATCTTTGTCCAGTTCAACCTCTCCCTCCAAGGTAGGCCTGGGGAATTCTTCTCTGAGCAGAAGTGGGTCAGAAACTTTGAGAAGTGAAAAATAGAAATAAAGTAAAAGTGGGACCAAATATGATATAAAGATGGGGTTAGTAGAGAAAAGTAAGGAAAATGTGCAACTAGATTTTCCTAAATCCAAGGGACCACCAAGGATTTGGGTATCATAAGGGACCTGGCCTCAAAAGTTCTCTTCACCTCTTCTTTGCATTCTTACCTGTTTGTGAACCTTTGTAAGTTGTTCCAGGTTGTTCTCAAGAAAGGAAATTTTCTGTTTTTGGGAATGAATCCCCCCACTGTCCTCGGGCTCCATTTCTGCACTCTGCTTAGAGATGGAGAGAAAGATGTGGCTCTCATGAGGCTAACCAGGTCCCAACTAGGTCAGGCCAAGCAAGTTCCATAGGGAACAGCAGGGCCACAGAAGCCTGAGGAGGGGAGGAATATATGGGGCTGGTAAGATGTGGAGGATCTCACTCACTTTCTTGACTCGAGTCGTGACGTCTTGAACGAACAGCTTGCGAAGGTTGTGGAGGGTCTGGAGTTCCCGGGCCTGGAAAAAATGATGGAAAATTGGGGATAGCCAGATACCAGGTCTGCCTACACCCTCCAAAATTATTGGAAACTTCAGTCTATACAGTCAAGTGTCACTCAGCCCTTAGGAAAAAATGTGTCCTGATTATGCCACAAACTAACTACAAAGGAGAAAGAGCAATGTGGTGAGGAAGAAATTGATGTAGGAGATGCAGCCCTCCATACCCTGTTAACTTGGTACAGAAGGAAACCACTCACAACTGTCTCCTCCAGACCTTTGAGGTCCTGCTTGGACTGCTCATGTCGCTCGTACAGAAATCTGCAGCAAAAGAAAAGGAGAAGTTAGAAAACAGAAAAATCCTTCAGGACTCTCCTCCTCTCACCTTCCTACTCCCCATTCCTTTTATCTCTATTTTACTATTATTTATTATATAAGTTGCTCATGTTTACTGTGCAAAAATCAGAAAAGAATTTTAGAAGAGAGTTAAGAGGAGTTTTTATAAAAAGCCATGATTCTACCACTTACAGAGGAAACCATCATGAAGCCTGGTATCCATCTTTGCATACTATTTTAAATAAAAAATTATTTTGAATAATTATTAAATAAAAATATCAAATATCAATATAAAATAAAATATTAAATAAAATTATTTTGTGGGGCTGCGGTTTTAGCTCAGTGGTAGAGTGCTTGCCTAGCATGTGTGAGGCTCTGGGTTCCATCCTCAGTACCACATAAAAGTAAATAAATGTGTCTATTTCTAACTAAAAAATAAAATCACTGTAAAAATTTTTTTTTTCGTACTAGATATGTATTAGATAGAGGGTCCCAGGGGCCCTCTATCACTGAGCTGCACCTCTAACCCTTTTTATTTTAGGATAAGTTCCCACTAAGTTGCCCAGGCTGGCCTTAAAGTTGCCATCCTCCTGCCTTAGCCCTCCCAAGTAGCTTGGCTCCCTGCTTATATACTATTTTTTCTAGGCATATATATCCATATAAATTTTTATGAGATTAGATCATTCAAACTGCTTTGTAACCTGATTTTCACACTTAACTCAACACTTCAAGCCACTTTCCATCCATGTCAGGTTATCCACAGCAGTTGTCATTTTTGGTGGTCTCCATTTTTCTAAACCTTCCCCACCCCATTATATTTGCTTCTTGTGAGTCACTGCATCACATCTATGTGTGTGTCCTGCCTCTGCAAATGCATCTGAGCAGTTAAGAGCCTACATGGCCGCTGGCCTGCCAGCAAACTCCTCACTCACGTCAGCTCCTGAAGCTTGGTGCTCTTCTCATGTTCTTCATTCTTCAGCTTCTCATAGTCAGCCTGAAGTTTCTCCAGCTCTAACTGGAGCTTCTGATTCAGGCTACAGAGGGTCAGGGACATTGGAGAGAAAAAGAGATGTTAATGAACAGGAAGGACAGACCAGCCCCTCAAACTTGTGCTTTCTTCTTGCATGAGGGAGTCCAGTTAGAACTAATGCATCTACCTTCAGATATCAGGGGCAGACACAGGTCACACTTCCATGACAGTAAAGAACCCTGAGCTATCTAATAAGGCCAAAAAAGATAGGGATTAGTCTTTAATGCTTCTATCTTCTGAATTTGGGCTGTGAAGTTATATGATTGTTGAGGGAATGACACATGGAATTTAAAGAACCTGGGGCTGGGACTGTAGCTCAGTGGTAGAGCACTTGCCTAGCATGAGTGAGACATGGTATTTGATCCTAAGTACCACATTAAAAAAAAATACATAAAGTTATAAAAAAAATTAAGAAAAAAAAGAAAGAAATTAAAAAACCTGATCCAGAAGGATCATTTGAGTAGGCACAACAAGGTAAGTGGGCCCAATGGAGACTGGAGCCACCCTCAGGGATCCTTACTCTTTAAGCTCATCAATAGTCTTCTGCTTTTCATTGATCTCATCCCTGAGCCGGGCCAGCTGTCGGTGATGGGCCTCCCGGTGACTTTCCATCTGCAGCTCCAAGGCCTTCTGCAAACAACCCCACCCCATGCTCAGAGTCAGACTCCCAGACATGAGTTTCATGAGGGCCAGCATAGCCCTGGCCCTGCCAAGCCCCAGTTGCCCCCCCACCCTCCCCACTCACCTTCACTTCATCTGCATCCTGAGTGTCTGGCTCTTTGTCCTTCAAAGCCACTTCATTAACAGTTTCTAGGGGGAAAGGGGAAGATAGCTTCCATCAAAACTACCTCCTTCAGAAAAAAATTTATGTTGTGACCAGCATTCCAGGCAGGTTAGGGGATGGACCCACAGGGAAGTTCTTCTAGTTAGGACAGTCCAATTTGATACAGCAGGGACATAAAACAAGGGAGGGTATATGATGCTCATAAAATGACCTATATGCAAAAGCCTGACTAAATAATATATGCGTTCAGGCTGATGCTTTGGGTGAGTGGTTGCTGGGTGGTTTCTTCTGATGTGTGCGACCTTCCCTCCCTGACCCTTTGGAATCTCAGATTCCAGGATGGCTATGATACAGGTCTAAGAAGGCTTTACCCTGAGCCTGGAGCTTGGCCAATTCATCACTCAAGGAGTCATAGGACTCTTCCAGGTGTCGCTTCTTCAGCTCCACACTCTGCATGTATTCCGTTAGTGAGCGGATCTTAGCCTCATGCTGGTAGAAGAAGGATGGGGAGAGAAAGGAAACAAATGGAGCAAAGCACACAACTCTAGGCAGCACCAACTTCCATAAACTCATGCTCTACTCCCAAGTCCTCCCTTCCTGCTGCACCTTCCATGAGGATGTAGGGCTGGGAGCCATTCCCATGGAGACTCTTCCTTCAGAGCCTCAGCTCAGAAAGCAATACCGCCTGAGTCTCCGCTTCTTGACCCCGGATCCTACTCCCTGCCACCCAGCTCTTCTGTTCTTGACTTCCATAGAATGCTGATATTAAGGTGAGTATTAGGAGTTTTACCTATAACCACACAATATCCTTCTCTCTCCTACATCATCAAAAGGTTCTCAATCTCAGGTAGTCACCTGTGAGATGAGGAGCTGGCAGGATGAGAGCTCCCGCCCAGTCACTTCCATCTTGCGATGACATTCCACCTGGAGGTTCTCTAGCTGCCGACACCGCTTGACTACAGATTTGACCTCCGACTTGATTTTGCTGATGTAGAGTCTGGCCACGGTGAACTCTTCCTCGATGGCCCCACTGATCTCCACCGGCTGAGGGTGGGCAGAGGAGGAAGAGATGCTTCTCTGCAGTAGAGAAGCCTTTACCCGCTCCCTTCCACCTTCTGCACAAATCCACATGCCCAGGGATTCAAGTAGGACAAGTATTTCCCAAGGACCTTTACCAGCTATCCTGGTATTTCACACTAAGGCCCTCTATCTACATTTAAAGATAATCCCCCTCTTCCACCTTAAAAAGCAATATGATTTTCTGTTTCTTCCTTTCCATTTATTTATTTTATTTTGAGGCAAGATATCATCATGTTGTCCAGGCTAGTCTTAAATTCCTGGACTCAAATGATCCTCCTTCCTCAGCCTCCCAAGTAGCTGGGACTACTGACACTTACCACCATACCCAGCTTGATTATTTTTTTATAGACCAACTGATCTACTTGATTACTCAGGTCAGTCATTCTCACTGACTGACATATTTGCATATGTCATTCCTAACTCTGTGCCCCACTTCTTGATCCTGCCACTGGCACACCTCACTTGTTTGTTTGTACCCTTTAGAATGCATCTTTTCAGTGGAGGCTATGCAAACCTCTGTTTGTTTTCCTGAGTCTAGACTGAAGGCACGCACATTTCTAGGCAATTTGGGCCACCTTTTTCAGTGTCTCAGAGGGTCTGGATTGTCCCACCAGTGCCCAGTGCAAAAATGACCTGAACTAGACTGCTGTCTCTCCCCACTCACCAGCTTAATCTCCCCGTTGCCCACGATGACACTGAACTCACTCAGGTCCTTCATCAGCCCATTCAGCACTTCAGCAATTCGTTTTCGCTGGTGTCCACTGACCTCCTGGAGTCGCTGCAATTCAGACTCCAGGGACAACATGGTGGCCTGGAGACAGCCCCTCAGGTCATTCCCATTGCCATCTTCCTTCTTCCCTCCCCAGTCCAGACAGAGGCTCTCATTTCAGCATGGCAAAGCACAGTGCATGGTGAGGGGGGGTTATAATACACTGAACAGCACTAGAGAGATGCAAACACCACATAGCCCAAAAAGAATCAAAGGTCCCCTTGGACATGGAGGGTGTTCTGAGGTCAGGGAGCCCTTGGACCACTGATAGGCCACTCACCACCTTCTGGGACAGCTCGTCCACTAGCAGCTGATTCTGCTGGCTCTTTTCCTCTACCTCCTGGGACTTCTGGTCATAGTTTACAGCCAGCTCCTCCAGGGCCTGCAGCACTTCTTTCACCTCATCCTTCGCAGCATCATTCTCTGACTGCAGGTGGCTCAGCTCCCGCTGGACCTTCTCATTGTCTCCTCGAGTGGACACCAGCAGCTTCAAAGAAGAGGAGGGGCATGTAAAGGAGCATGTAGTCAATGATCACTTCCATGGGCCCTGGACCTGGGGGAGCCAAGACCCCCCACAAAGCAAAAGTCAAAAGGAAGTAGGCATTATGTTTCACAGAAATTGGGAAACAAAACAAAATAAAGAAGGACTTGGGGGCTGTGGCTGTGGCTCAGTGGCTGAGCGCTTGCCTCACATGCACGAGGCACTGGGTTCGATTCTCAGCACCACATACAAAAATATAATAAACAAAACAAAGATATTGTGTCCATCTACAACTAAAATAATAATAATAATAAAAAAGACGGGCCTAGACTCCAACAGCAGTGTTTTAGTAACAGCCCAATGAAGTTCTCAGACTGCTATAGTTTGGGGTGACTAGCCCCTAAGAAGAATGGCCCTTCTTCCATCTGATTTTAAAGAGGCCTTTTTCACACTTTTCAAGGATGAACATAAACCCCTTCCCTTTAGTGTCTTGCCCCCTTCCAATACCTCCTCCTGGTCCAGCATTTGCTGCTTGAGTTTCTCGATGAGTTGGCTCTGCTGGTTGATCTCATCGTCCTGTTGGAAGCAAGGGGAAGACAGTAAGGGAAGCCACTCTTTCCAGTTTAGAGTTCTGGGACTTTGTGAGAGAGGTAGGATCCCAGTAAAATTCCAGGTAGTTTAGGCTTTGATTTAGAAAGCTCATGTGCTAAAAAGAGGTCTTTTCCTTGACTTCTTTTCCTGACCCCAGCACTCTCTAAATTCCTTTCTTCCAGGAAGTTGATATAACCTTGATAATACACAGCAAAAATCTTTAAATGTTCACATTTTTAAAAAATATTTTTTAGGGGGCTGGGGTTGTGGCTCAGTGGTAGAGCACTTGCCTTGCATATGTGAGGCACTGGGTTTGATTCTCAGCCCCACATATAAATAAATAAAATAAAGGTCCATTGACAACTAAAAAATATTAAAATATATATATTTTAGTTGTAGATGGACACAATATCTTTATTTTAGTTCTATGTGGTGCTAAGAATCAAACCCAGTGCCTCACGCGCACTAGGCAAGCACTCTACCACTGAGCCACAACCCGAGCTCCAAATGTTCACATCTTTTTTTTTTTAATTTTTTTTTTTTTTAGCTGTTGATGGACCTTTATTTTATTTATTTATAGTGATGCTGAGAATTGAACCCAGTGCCTCACACATGCTAGGCAAGTGCTCTTCCACTGAACTATAACCCCAGCCCCAAATGTTCATATCTTTTAAAGAAATCTCATTCTAGCACTCCTTTCTTTCTTTTTTTTAAAAAATATTTTATTAGTTGTTGGTGGCCCTTTATTTATTTTTATGTAGTGCTGAGAATCAAACCCAGTGCCTCACATATGCCAGGCAAGCACTCTACCACTGAGCCACAACCCCAGCCCCACTTTAGTACTCCTTTCTAACCAAATCATTCAAACAAAATCTTGTGCAGAAGAGGCAAATATAGTCATTTCAGAGTTATTATTAATAGGAAAAAAAACCCTACAAGCCCTGTAATAAGGGAATTGTTAAATAAGTGGACCCCTAGGCAGTAATTTAAAAATACTTTTAACTGTGCATGGTGGCCCACACCATAATCCCAGCAGCTCAGGAGGCTGAGGCAGGAGGATTGCAAGTTCAAGGCCAGACTCAGTAACTTAGCAAGGCCCTAAACAACTTATTGAGACCCTGTCTCAAAATTTAAAAAAAAGGGATGGGGATGTGGCTCAGTAATAAAACACCCCTGGGTTTAATTCTTTTTATGAAGAATTATTGAGTAAAAATGCTCATAATAGAACACTAAATGAAAAAAAATTAGATGTAAAATTACAATATATCTCAAGTGTATGATATATCCATAGAGGAAACCAAAATGTTAGCAGTATTATTTCTAAATGGTGGGTAATGGATGGTACTAATTTTCTTCTGTATATTTTTATTTATTTTCCACATTTCAAAAATGAGCATTTATCCCTTTTAAAATCAGAAAAAAAGGCAGTATAAGCTAAAATTTTAAATCCCGTGCCTCTTATCTAACTGTGCCCTGCCCGGCTGCCCTCACCTTGTCATCAAGCTGCTTATAGAGGCGGCGGATCTCCTCCTCATATTTCTGCCGCTCCTCAGGTGCGATACGCACCACAATGGATGAGTTGTCATTCACAGGGGTCTCCTCACAGAGCTCAGCCCCCAGGGCTGCATCCTCCCCAGCCAGACGCTCTGTCTCAGGCACATTCTCTCCTGGCAGAGGGGCAGAAGAAGGCGGGAAATGGGAGAAGAGAAAGCTTCGTGCACAAGTCTTTCCCCCCTCACTCCAAGTCCTCATCTCTTTCCTGCAGGGGCTGCAGGGGACAGTCCATGCCCTCACTCCCTTCCCTCATGACTGCTGCACTGCACTCTTCCAGAAACACAGCCCTCCTTCCTGAAGGCAGCCTGGCCCTAAACACAGCCAAGCAGGGCTGTCCCTCCCACTACCTCTCATTCCCTCGGGATCCCCATCTAACCAGGATCGCCATCTAACCATTGCGCCAGCGGCTCAGCTCAGCCTCCAGCTTTGCAATTGTCTCCTTCTGGGCCTTGGTCTTCTCCTTCTCCTTCTCATATTTCTTCTTCCACTGCTCGGCAGTCAACTCCAGATTTACTGAGGCAGTGTTCTTAATGGTCTTTGCCCTGGATGAAGAGAATAAGAAAGCGATGAAACCTGTGTTAGGCTTGGGTGACACCTGAGCGAGAGAGCCTCAGGGTCTAGAGAGGGACCTGGCTCCCAGTGTCCCTCTAGGGACTCTGCCACTGACCGCTGTCCAAACATCAGTGTAGACTTGGTCTCTGCATCATTGTAACTGGATGGTGAGCAACAGATGAACATAGTTGTACGGCAGTTTCCTCCCAGAGAGTCCTGAAGAATCCGTGTCATTTTGCTATCACGATATGGAACGTAGCTTTTCTGGGAGAGAATGGAGGCCATGACTTAGAAAAATAAATTCAAAAGGAAATCAAAAGAACAGTAGTGCTGCCTAAGGATCAAGCAACCTACAAGTTGGGGCATAATTAAAGAGGGACACTGGGAGAAGGTGTAGTTGGGGTGAAGGGGATTTAGGAAACACTTACAGTGCCCTCTGCTAATGCAGAGATCACATTCCCCAGGGCAGACAGCGACTTGTTGATATTCTTTGCCTCATCCAGCACAGCTCCCTCTGCTCCAGTCTTGCTAACCTGCCAGGGTATTAGGAGACAAGTGTATCAGGAACAGCTACAAAGACTGTCACAGTCTCTTTTCTACTTGGGGACCCAGTCCAAAAATGGGGGGAGGGAATGGAGAAGAGGACAAAGTAAGAGATATTAGCCAGAATCAGGGAAGGCCTTTCCTCCATTCCACTATATCTCTTGCCAAAGGCCACTCCCACTGCCATATTATATAATTCCATTTATTTGAAATATTCAGGACAGGCAAATCTACAGAGACAGAAATAGATAAGTGGCTGCCAGAAAATGGACAGAGGGGAGAATGGGAAGTGACTATTAATGGGTGATAAAAATGTTCTGGAATTAGACAGTGGTAATGGTTATACAACCTTGTGAACACACTAAACCCACTAAATTGTACACTCTAAAATGGTGAGCTTTCTGATTATGAATATCTCAATTTTTAAAAAAAATTTAGTTGTAGATGAACACAATACCTTTATTTTATTTATTTTTTTGTGGTGCTGAGGATTGAACCAATGCCTCACATGTGCTAGGCCAGTGCTCTACCACTGCCCCACAACCCCACCCTGAATATCTCAATTTTAAAGGTTTTTGTTTTGTTTTGTTTTTTAGTACTAGAGAGTTAATCCAGGGGCACTTAACCACTGAGCAACATTCCTAGGCCTTTTTATTTTGAGGCAGGTTCTCACTAAGTTGCCCTGTTAACCACTGAGCCACATCACAGTCTATTTTTACTTTTTATTTTGAGACAGAGTCTCACTGCATTGCTTAGGGCCTTGCTAAGTTGCTGAAGCTGGCCTTGAACTTGTGATCCTCTTGTCTTGGCCTCCCAAGTCACTGAGATTACAGGCGTGTGCCACCACACTAATCTTAAAAAAAAAAATTATTTTAATTATAAAATAAGTAACCTCCCCATAAGGCTTTCTTCTCCACCAACCCATAGGACCCCTAACCTTCTCACTCCCAGCCAGGTCCACGAGATACAACTTCCCACTGAGCTTCTGCTCAGTCTCCATGTTCTCCTGCTTGATGTTGATGAGGAAGATGCTGTGGCTTCGAGAGCTGTGTTCATTCATGTCTGTAGAGGAGAAATGTGACAGGTATCAACCCCTGTGAACCTGCACCCCTCAGTCCCAGCTGATACTGGCTGCCATTCCCACCCATTGAAAGAGAAGGGACCTGCCAGGACCAACCCTGCCATTTCATCTCCCAGGCAGTGGATGCACAGGCAAGGGGCCCCTCTGCTGAAGGACAATGTCCTCCCTTGCTTGCTTGTTGCCCAGGGGATACAGAAGAGAGGGAGGCCCTTAGATTCAAGAACCCTTTAGATCCCTACTCACTGGTGACAGCGACATGACGATTTGATTTTCCCTCATCAATCACATCCAAAATCTCCTCTGGGCTGGACACAAAGCGTTCAGTACAACCCTGCAGGGGGCAAATAGACAGTGACCTATAAACTCTGATCTGCAAATTAAGTTGCCTGAACACTTTCCAAGAGACCTTTTAAGATGCTGCCTTTTTTCCAGGTGCACTGGCACATGCCTCAGCTTGGGAAGCTGAGGCAGGAGGATCATGAGTTCAAAGCCTGCTGCAGCAAAAGAGAGGTGCTAAGAATCTCAGTGAGATCGTGTCTCTAAATAAAATACAAAATAGGGCTGGGGATGTGGCTCAGTGGTCAAGTGCCCCTGAGTTCAATCCCTGGTACCCCCACCCCCCCCGCAAAAAAAAACTCAAACAGATGCTGTCTTTTGGGCTAGGAATGTAGCTTAGCAGTAGAGTACTTGTCTACTTGTCTAACATGTACAAGGCCCTGGGTTTAATCCCCAGAGACAAAAGAAAAGTCATCGTATTGAAGCATCAAAAAAGTCTTGATTCTGAGAAATCATTTGTTTACTTGCTAAAGATGTATTGGTTGCCAAAAGATTTATTTTAAATCCAATTTAAATTCATTTATGAGAGAGAATTACTAACTAAGCATTTATTATTTTAGTATGTTAAAAATAAAACTTGCACACCAGTTTAGTACTCAGAAGAGAAATGTATATGCCAAATGGCCCTATGTTCCTTTCTTAACTGGAAACAAAGCTACAGTGGAAGTCAGAGCAGTACCAGAATGCTCTTTATGGAGCATGGATGAGCAAGGGGAGTGGGTGGGATTTTTTAAAATTGTGAAACAAATCATTAATATGATATTGTATGATTTAAAGAATAATAAAATGGACATTATGTAAAAAAAAAAAAAAAAAAAGAAAAGTCATTGTTTCCAAGCACCCTGACTCTCATAGGCCCCTTAGCATATCTTACCCCTTTAACTTCTGGGTCATTGGCCCACCCTCTTCCCTCATCCCATTCTGGATACACTGACTCCACACCAGTGTCTCGCCCACTCTCACCTTGACAAATGGGACCCGGTTCTTGTCCTCATGCACAGAAAGGTTTGTCTTGGTCACTGAATCAAGATAATGCAGAGTGAGTAAAACCAGCACTTCCACCCACCCCTCTGCACCCTGTAGTCAACTTGGATGGTGGTTTCTTCTATGTGCTAAATGGAGGAGGGCTTCCCAATGAAGCCTAAACTCCATGTTCCCACTGAAGGCTCAATTCCTCCTCCTCTCCCTCCTCCTTGTCAGGGCTCCAGCTGCAGGGTTCCATCTCCTCTTGAACTATGTATATGTAAACTCTAAGCTCATCTTCTGAGCCTCTAAGTTTTTGGAAATTCTTGGTGAGTGAAGCTAAAGGACTCAGGTGTGAAGATGTGTATTTTGTATGCCAAATGGCACCAATCCCCACAGCAAGCTGATCTTCCTTTCTTCACCCTCCTCACACACTCTAACCCAGTGAAGTTAAATACTTACCATCCAGAAGGTCACGAATTTTATCCAGGTAAATCTCAAAATAAGAGACCTGGTTTGGGAGAAAGGAGTATGAATTGAAGAGGGCTTATCTTAAATCTAATGTGGGAATTCCAAACTAATGTGACCTGCTCAAAGGATAGTGGTAGGTAGGAAGAACAGAAAAGAACGTCTTAGTGGAGGTAACCAGAGGGGGAGAGTAACATTGGGGAGCCCAGGATCTTCAGCAGGTTCACTCTAGATTTTCTCCTCCCAGTCCCCATCTGAAGATATCCAGCTGTCATGCCCTAATCACCTTGATGTGGAACTCAAGGTTCTCATCCATGGAGTAGATGTGGTTGAAGATGTCTCGGGCAATCCGGGGAATGATTCCCATCAGCTGAGGGTCATGTAGCTTTCCCTGGGGAGTGAGGATATTCCAGCATGAGACTGAGACTCGAGAAGGATGAGACAACTTGAGGTATACAAGTGAACACAAAGGTAAGAGGTGATAGGAAGAGCATCCTAAGGTAGGAGGTGGTTACCACCATGTCTACCTTTTAGTGGAAGGAGATAACTGAGCAGCCCTTTGGACTTCCACTGCTGCTACTTTTGCAGATCAAAAGACAACTAGAGCAGTAGGAAGGAGCTAAACTGCAGCAGATTGAAAGGATTCCATTAAACTTCCCTTAAAACATTGCCTCTCAGCTCATCCTGTGTACCCATCTGCATCTGAACCAGGCAACCTTTGATTCCTAAATCTTCCCCCACTGAAAGTCCTTGATCTGCCACTTGCATTCCTAGCTCCTTATTCCAACAAAGTCAGAACCCTCACCTCCATAGTATGTGTTTTCCCTGAGGATGTCTGTCCATAAGCAAAAATGGTGCCATTGTAGCCAGCAAGGACATCTGGAAGAGATGGTGGATAAACATATAGGTGGAGATAAGTGAGGCAGGGAATGCGAAGCCTGAGAAAATACATTCTAAAAAGACATCCATTACCTTTGACAATCTGCATGGCACATGCATGATAAACTTGCTCCTGAGTCGTGTTTGGGGGGAACACACGGTCAAAGACATATGGCTTCCCCTGGAGTGAAAATAAGAAATGTCGGCCATCAGTAGGAAGAGTGGAAGGGAGAAGAAATGCCACAGACCCATCCATCAGCCTAATAAAGGCACCCCATTCTTCAATCCTCCAAATACATGGAAAATATAGGGGACAAGAGAAATTGGAGAGAGAAGTAAACTGCAGAAGTGAAGAACAATTCATTAACAATAAAAAGCACCTCAAAGTTTTAAAATATCTTCCTCAATAAACCCATTTGTTGGGGCTCCTGCTGTAGCTCAGTGGTAGAGCACTTGCCTAGCATGTGTAAGGCACTGGGTTCAATTCTCAGCACCACATACAAAAGAATAAATAAAAATAAAGGTCCATCAACAACTAAAAAAAAATTTAAAAATTAGACAAACCCATTTGTCTTAATATGGAAAGGTCTTCAAGATGAATTAAATGAAAGATACAAAGTTAGCAGCATAGGCAAAACATGTTCCCTACAATTTAAATGAAACATATACTCAGAGTTCTTGGGAAAACATTAATACAAGTTCTGTCTTGTGAAAAGAATATATGAAATCAGAAATATAGGTCTCTTTGGGGCTGGAGTTGTAGCTCAGCGGTAGAGTGCTTGCCTCATATGTGTGAGGCACTGAGTTTGATTCCTAGCACCACATATAAATAAGCAAAAAAAAAAAAAAAGTCCATCAACAACTAAAAAAAAAAAAAAAAAAGAAATATGGGTCTCCCTTTAAAAAGGGAATCAGGGGCTAGAGTGTGGCTCAGTGATAGAGTACCTGCAAAGCATGCATGAGGCCCTGGGTTCAGTCTCCAGCACTGCAATGTAAAAGTGTAGAAGCAAATCATTCAGACCCACAAGTATTTTGTTTAATTTAGGTAATATGTTGCAAGTTATATGTACTGATAATATATATATATATATATATATATATATATATATAGAGAGAGAGAGAGAGAGAGAGAGAGAGAGAGAGAGAACACATATGTATATAGAGAATATATAGGAGATAGATTTATTTATTTATTTATTTATTTATTTTTATTTATATATACTTTTTTTTTGTACCAGGGATTGAACCCAAAGGAGCTTAAGCACTGAGACACATCTCCAGTCCTGTATATTTTTTTCTATTTTGAGACAGTGTCTCACTAAGTTGCTGAGGCTACTGAGGCTGGATCCTTCTGCCTTAACCTCCAGAGCTGCTGGAACTACAGGTGTTCGCCCTGGCTAAGATACAAACTATTTAAAACTCAGGGAACTAAACAAAAAAATTATTTGACATCTAATCATGTTAAAGGTCAGATCCATGCTTAAATTAAATAAGACTGTTTTTTCTCCAAGTGACAAATTTCCCAGTAGTGTTTACCTGCTAGTCAGTACAAAAAGACGATAACTTACTTGTCAAATTGTATAACTAGAGTTCATCTTTATCCAACTGAAATTTAAAGCTCTAGATCTATAGACACCAGAGTTTGGGAGAAATGTTTTAACAAATTAAGGAAAGCCATAAATTTTAGCTAAAGCTAGACATGAGGCTCTAAGTATATATTCCATCAATAGATACAGAATTTTTTTCCTAGAAGAAATTATACAAAAATCTTGACAGTGTTTACTGTGGAGAGAAACTGGGAGAGAGAAGATTTCTGTTTTTCATTGAGTATCTTGTAGTTTACATTTTTTAACCATTTAAAAGTATTATATTCAAGATTTTTTAATGTCAAAGATGATGAGAAAATAGTGCAATCATTTGTTTTCTTCTTTGAAAGTTTTGTTTTGAGACAGGGTTTTACTAGGTTGCCCAGGGTGGCCTCAAATTTGTGATGCTCCTCCTTAAGTGTCCTCAGTAACTGGGATTATGGGTATGTGCCACTGTGCCCAGCATAATAAATGTTATTTTATAAATATTAAAAAAAAATAAACCTGGCTTCTGGGAAAAAAATCAGCCAGAAATATGTATATGTACTCTTGGTAGTGAAAGCCTGTAAGACCTAAGAAACAGCTGGGTGCAGTGGTAGAACACTTGCCTAGCATACATAAGACCCTGGATTGGATCCCCAACACCATCAAAAAACAACAACAACAAAAAAGATTAAAGCCCAAGAAATAGTATCCACAAAGGAAAGATGTTGGAAAGGCACTCTTTATAAAGAAGGAAGTGTTATAAACTGATAAAAAAAAAAGAGGTTAGTTATAACTTTATTAAAATGAGTGGGATTGAGTCAGGTATAGTGGCACACACCACAGCACCATATATAAGTAAATAAATAAAACAAATATCTATCAACAACTTAAAATATACATATATACATATATATGCATATATATATATATGTGTGTGTGTATATATATATATATATATATATATATATAATTTATTTATTTATTTATAATAAGAATCTTTTTTTTTTTTTATGGTGCTTGGGATTGAACCCATGGTGGCCTTATGCATGCAAGGCAAGCACTCTACCAACTGAGCTATATCCCCAGCTCCAAAATAACAATCTTTTAAAAAATAAATAAATAAAAGGAAGAGGCTGGAGACAAGGTCAGGAGTGCGCACCTGTAATTCCAGTGACTCAGGAGGCTGAGACAGGAGGATCACAAGTTCAAGACCAGCCCCAGCAATTTGGTGAGGCCTTAAGCAACTTAGCAAGAAAGATCCTGTTTCAAAAACCAAAACAAACAACAACAACAACAAAGACAGCTGGGGGTGTAACTCAGTGGTGAAGTGCCACTAAGTGTTCAATCCCCAGTACAAAAAGAAATTTTATTTAAAGAAAAGACTAGAGTGTGGCTCAGTGGTAGAGCATGTGTTTAGCATGTATAAGAAGTTTGACCGCGAGTTCAATTCCCAGCACCATAAAAAAAAAAGAGGTTAGTTATAACTTTATTAAAATGAGTGGGATTGAGTCAGGTATAGTGGCACACACCCCAGTGACTTACAAGGCTCAGAAAGGAGGATGGCAAGTTAGAGGCCAGCCTGGGCAACTTGGCAAAACCTTGTCTCAAAATTAAAAATAAAAAGGACTTAAGGTGTGGCTTAGTGGTAGACTACCCCTGGATTCAGTCCTCATTACCACACACACAAAAATACTTGTGCAACTCAAGAACTGCTATCATAAATATATCATAAATTGATGTTATGCCAGGTGCAGTGGCCCAGCAGCTTGGGAGGCTGAGGCAGGAGGATTGTGAGTTCAAAGCCAGCCTCAGCAACTTAGTAAGTCCCTAAGCAACCCAGCAAGACCTTGACTCTAAATAAAATATAAAAAAAGGGCTGGGGATGTGGTTTAGTGGTTAAGTGCCTCTGGATTCAATCCCCAATACTAAAAAATAAAAAATAAATTGATGTTTTGATGTTTCCTAAATATATGAATCCATGCTCAACCTCACTGTCAAGCCAAACATATATTAAAACTATGAGACACTGTTTTGTTTTGTTTTATCTATCAAAGTGGTCATAGTAAAATATTTGGCAATATACCTCACTGGTGAAAATGTGAGTAAATAGATATTTGCTCATACTGCTGGAAATAAAGATAGGATAGGCAATTTGGAAATAGTTCTTACATTTTTAAGTACATACACTTTATGACTTCCACTTTTAAAAATGTATCCTATATACTCACTGCCCATATGCCCTCCTGCACCCCATTCAATTGTTTATAATGGCAAATTATTAGAACAATCCTAAAAGCCCAACAGTAGGGGAGCTGGGCATGGTGGTGCATGCCTGTAATCCCAGTGGCTCAGGAGGCTGAGGCAGGAGGATTGCAAGTTCAAAGTCAGCCTCAGCACCTTATCGAGGCATAAAACAATTTAATAGACCCTGTCTCAAAATAAAAAATAAAAAGGGCTAGGGATGTGGGACTGGGGTTGTGGCTCAGCAGTAGAGTGCTTGCCTGGCACCTGTGAGGCACTGGGTTTAATCCTCAGCACCACGTAAAAATAAATAAAGGGCTAGGGATGTGGCTCGGAGCTTAAATGCCCTAGGTTCAATCCCTGGTACCCAAAAAAATAAATCAATATCAATATCAATAAGGAGCTGTTTAAATAAATTATGGTATGTCTCTGCAACAATTATACAGATGTTAAAAAGAATGAATTGGGCTGGGGTTGCGGCTCAGCGGTAGAGTGCTTGCCTAGCACATTCGAGGCCCCGGGTTCAATCCTCAACACCACATAAAAATAGATCAATAAAATAAAGGTATTCTGTCAAACTACAACCAAAAAATAAATTTTTTAAAAAAGAGAATGAATTGGACCTTTATGTGTTGATATGGAAAGATCTCCAAGACTCAACAGTGAGTTAACAAAAAAAAAAAAAAAAGCAAGGCACAGAATGGTAGATATACTATGCTGTCATCTGTGTAAAAAAAAAAAAAAGTACAAATGTATAGTGGTTTTAGAAGAGTCCATAGAAACTGGTGACAGTTACCTTCCTTTTTTTGTACTGGAAATTGAATTCAGGGTTGCTTTACCACTGAGCCTTTTTTATTTTTTATTTTGAGACAAAGTCTTATTAAATTGCTGAGGCTGGCCTCAAACTTGTAATCCTCTTGCCTCAGCCTCCTTAGTCCCTGGGATTACAGACACACCATGGTGCCTGGCAACAACTACCTTCTGAAAGGAGAACTAGGTGGCCAGGGAAGAAGGGAGCAATAAGAATGACTTTTCATTGACTATCTTTCTCTGTCATTTAAGTTTTATCACCTAGGAATATGAAACATTCAAAAATTAAATTAAAAATTGTAAGCCAGGCATGGTGTCACATTCCTATAATCCCAGCAACTCCAGAGGCTGAGGCAGGAGGATCCCAAGTTTAAAGCCAATCTAGGCAACTTAGCAAGACCCTGTTTCTAAATAAAAAATAAAAAGGACTGGGGATGTAGCTCAGTGGTAGAGTGTCCCTGAGTTCAATCCCCAGTACTATAAAAATAGAGAAAACCAAAAAATAATAATAGCAATAAGTAATAATAGAAAAATTAATAAATAATAGAAATAAATAAAC